GGCCCTGCCTCAGCCCGGCCATGCCCGTTTCATTGCAGGGAGCGGAGCTGAGGGTAGCGCTGCTGGTGCCCAGCCATGATGCCCTTTGGTGGGATGGCTGCCCGACTGCAGAGGGACCGCCTGAGAGCCGAGGGGGTTGGCCAGCACAACAACGCCATCAAGTACTTCAACCAGGACTATGAGGCCCTCAAGCAGGAGTGCATTGAGAGCGGCACCCTCTTTAGGGATCCACAGTTCCCAGCCGGCCCCTCTGCCCTTGGATTCAAGGAGCTGGGGCCACACTCCAGCAAGACACGGGGGGTGGAGTGGAAGCGTCCGTCGGTAAGTGCTGGGCTCGCTTCTCCTTGGGCTGGGCTGGCATCCCTGTCCTGCAATGTCTGCACTGACATGGTTTGCCAAGCTGCAGCCTGGCCCTGGCCTGCTCCTCTCGGTGCTCAAAGTTCTTCGAGTGCTTTATAGCCTCCTTTCCCAAGGGCCTAGAGCAATGCCCCATGAGTGTCTGCTCAGAAAAGCATCATGTCTAGCAGGCCCTGCTTTGTCTGGGCAGCAGACCTTGGGCTTTAAAATAGGTGGGCTATGTCATTGCTTCTAGGTGTTGTGGCATGGATGTGTCGCCCTCTGTGACTGGGGCTTTTGAGGGTGTATATGCCCTGGTGCCACGAGTGCAAGGGGAATGCCATTAGTCTGTCTAGCCGTGTCCTGCCATGGCTACAGCAGAAGATCTTGCCTTGCCTTACCATGATGGCCTTGGGGTTGCAGTCAAGCAGATTTCCCTGGCAGAGGGCAGGTGGAGTGCATCTCTCGGGGACCCTATACCCTTCCTCCTGAGTCAGAGCTGCAGTGGGTGCCAGCCCCCCAGAAGCCCAGGCCCTGCCAAGATCCAGCACCAGCATCTGATTCTCTCCTCCTTTTGCAGGAATTAGTGGATGACCCTCAGTTCATCGTTGGCGGTGCAACCCGGACAGACATCTGCCAGGGGGCTCTGGGTGAGTACTGGAACTCTGTCTGCAGACCTTGGTCCGGAGAGCAATGGTTGGGGAGGGTTGGCGTGGCTGGAGAAGAGGTGTTTGTGTAAGATTGAAGGTGGACCAGTTTCACAGCACCTTTCCCCAGGCCCATGCAGCGCATTTTCATGCCAGCCTCTGCACAACAATCTCTGTACCACAGGCTCCTTCCCATTTAGTGCAGTGGAAACTGGAAGGTGGGGGACACCCTATGCCTCCTGGTGGCTCTAGGTTAAGGCTCCGTGAAAATGGGTTGATGTGTGCACAGCTTGACCATGCTAAGATCAGGGGAGGTGTCGGGTGGATCCATGCCTGACACATGCCGACAACAACACCAGGAGCTGCTCCAAAGAGCTCCCTGCTTTGGTAAATGGTGAGGGTTGGCAGCTGGATGACAGTAACAAACTGAGGTGAGGATGTGCTGATGATGACAAAGTGCTTGTGAAGCAACGTGGTGTGGCAGAAGGGAATTGAGAGGAGAGCTACAGAGTAGAAGTGGTGATTTTTCATTTCTCCAGGCGTGTATCCCAAGGCAAAGGCACTGAGACAAGGAGAGCGGTGTTAATGGGCTGGGTAGGCTGGCAGGGCTGGCAACTGCGATTTTGTGGTCATCGGAACCAGATCTGCGTACCACCAAGAGTGTCGTCCTGATCTGGATCAAGTCGGGCACTTGCCTGGGAGTATTGTGTACCTTAGCACACATAGCACGCTGGTTTCAGGGCTGACCACATTTAGTGCATCCAGTAATTAGAACAAACTTGAGGTGGTAACTGGAGCACATAACAGCCCAGAGCACTGCGGTGGCGTTCAATTGGTCATTAAAAAGTCTGAAATGCCATTTTGTCAAACCACAGCCCAGTACAGATTATCCAGGCCCAAGGCTAAGGTGTGACAAGCTTCAAAGGCAAAAGAGAAAGGGGAACTAAGGCAAAGAATTTAAAGCGCAGTGCTGGCCTGGAGCGGCACTTGTGGTTAAGAGCACTTAGAAGGAAAAGCACAGTGGTGGTGCTCGCAATTTGAGAAGCCAGTGCAGCAGCATTAAACCTCTGGCTTGATTTTCTAAATGCAAAGTGTAATTCCACTGCAGAACTCGCTGTCTGAGATGTGGAGGGCAGTCATACGAATGAGTCTCAGGAAGGTCTAGATAAACAGCTGCAGGAGGGGGCTGTTGGTGCTGACTGTATGTGGTGGTCTGGACACAGGTTCCAGGTCAGGGAGGATCATTCCCTGTTGCCTTGAGCTAATACTTCTCTCCGAGGCAGGCTGAACGAGCCTTGCTCCCTGAGCTCTGTTTGTCTGCTGGACCCTCTCTGGTTTTTGAGCTGGGGAGCCCCAAACGTTTGCAAGGAGAGCACTCCTTGGGCTCCTACGTCCACTGCCTACCCCCCCAGCTAGGGAGGTGGTGGGTGCTCACACTGGCTTCCTCTCCTTCCCCAGGTGACTGCTGGCTGCTGGCTGCCATCGGCTCCCTCACGCTCAACGAGGAGCTCCTGCACCGCGTGGTGCCCCACGGGCAGAGCTTCCAGGAGGACTATGCCGGCATCTTCCACTTCCAGGTGGGCTGGAAGCTCCTGGCCCTCCATGGCGGGTGGGCTGGGGGCGGAAGAGAGGCCGGTGGGATGAGGGCATCCTTCTGGGGTAGGGATGAGCAAGTCGTGTGATGCACCGAGCTCACCCCACTCTCTCCTGGACCCCCAGATCTGGCAGTTCGGTGAGTGGGTGGACGTGGTGGTGGACGACCAGCTGCCCACCAAGGACGGGGAGCTCCTGTTTGTGCACTCGGCAGAGTGCACCGAGTTCTGGAGTGCTCTGCTGGAGAAGGCCTATGCCAAGTGGGTAACCCCGTGGTGGGCACATGGACGGGTGGGGCGACAGGGCACCTCATGGAGCAGAGCTGAGGGGAGGGGGTCTCTTCTATCCCTGGCCCTGCTTGCGCTCGGTGCCTGGGGAGCAGCAGCATGCTATGTCCTTGTCACCTCATGCGCCCCTCTTGCCGGCCGGTGCTCAGGCTGAACGGCTGCTACGAGGCACTCTCAGGGGGCAGCACCACCGAGGGCTTTGAGGACTTCACCGGCGGCGTGGCAGAGATGTATGACCTCAAGCGGCCGCCGCGCAACATGGGCCACATCATCCGCAAGGCATTGGAGAGGGGGTCCCTGCTGGGCTGCTCCATCGACGTAAGTCGTGCGCCGGAATGAGCCAGGGACTCTGCCTCAGCGATGGCCAAAGAGAGGCCTCGTAGCCCGAGATCGTGTCAGCAGTCCCCTTGCTGGGACACTGGGCGGGAGGTTACTTCCTTCCCCTTTTAGCATTTCCAGAGGCAGCGGGGCAGCCCTAGGGTACAGCGAGTGAGGCTGCAGCCCAGCTGCTGGGAACAGGCTCCTTTGGATGGAGCGGGAATGTCCATCTCAAGCGTGGGCTGTTGAACAAGGGTCTGCCTATAGCTCTGGCCATGTCTTATGTCAGCATCTGAGAATTATCTGGAGTGGGGTTTTCCATCCGTTCCCTCTCGTGAAATCAGTTTCTTGCTTTCTGAAGTTTGAGTGGTTTCCTGATGGATCTTCAGGGTCTTCTGGCTGGGAAACCGTCTTTACATTGTCCTCAGCCGGCAGCCTTTGAGCAGAGGGTGCTGGTACCTGCTGCTTCTCTTGGCTGGAGCAGGGCAAAGCAAGGGGAATTCTCCACACGGTGGAGGGAAGGGGTAGGGATAGGAGAACATGAATTTAATCATATTCACTTGAGGTTTGCACATTCTCCTCAGATCACAAGTGCTTTTGATATGGAAGCGGTGACCTTCAAGAAGCTGGTGAAAGGCCACGCCTATTCTGTCACGGCCTTCAGAGACGTGAGTTGGCTATGTGAGACTTCAGTAAGAATAAAATTGCCTGGAAAGTGGCATGGGCTCAACCTCTTGTGTCTGGGGGGCGGGAGGTGAACTCCCTTCATCCGCATCAGGAATCCCTGGGGTCAGGTGGAGTGGACCGGAGCCTGGAGCGATGGGTGAGTTGGACAGATGGGACTTCAGTCCCACCGCTGGCAGGCCAGCGGGAACGGCACACACGGCAATTGAGTGCTCAGCACTGCCAAGGGGAAGTGTGCAGTGCCCTTCACATTGGCGAGGGAGGCAGCTCTGAAGTGCTCTCGATTCACCTTCAGTAGTCCTCATCTAATTGTCTGTCTCCTGATACTTCAGCTCCTCCGAATGGGACAACATTGACCCTGGCGACAGGGAAGAGCTGCAGCTGAAGATGGAGGATGGAGAGTTCTGGTGAGTGCCAGAGCAAACTGCTGCTCTTCTTCAGCAGCCAGCCTGGGAAGGACTAGAGGAGCTGAGGAGAGATCCCACGGTTCTGCTTCGCCTGAAACACATGACCTGCCTTTATGAGCTGGCTTTCCAGCACCGGAGAGCCTGCTAGTGTTTTCTCATCTGATCTAGTTAATAATTTTCCTCTCTTCAAGGAAATTCAGCCCAACTAAATGCAAAATAAACATCTAGGAAGGGTAAACAACCCTTCTTCCCCAAAACGAGCAGCAGGCTTTAAATGAGCTATAACTGCTCAGGGTAAAAGATCTTGCTGTCACTTAATTCTTCCAAAATGTTGGCTGGGTCCAGAGCTGCTTGCGCTCTCCTCCCTCCCTGCCAACGGTGCCCTGACCTCAGGCTCTGCCTGCCTCTTGCAGGATGTCTTTCCGGGACTTCATGAGGGAGTTCTCCAGGCTGGAGATCTGCAACCTGACCCCCGATGCCCTCACCAAGGACGAGCTCAGCAGATGGCACACGCAGGTGTTCGAGGGCACGTGGCGCCGGGGGAGCAGTGCTGGGGGCTGCAGGAATCACCCAGGTACCTTTCCCCCCAGCATCTCCACTCTTGGCAGCGCGATTGAGCTAGGTGTCTCATCCACGTGTCATCTTCCTCCCAGCCACGTTCTGGATCAACCCCCAGTTTAAGATCAAGCTGCTGGAAGAGGATGATGACCCCGGGGACGATGAGGTGGCCTGCAGCTTCCTGGTGGCTCTGATGCAGAAGCACCGGCGGCGGGAGCGGCGGGTGGGGGGTGACATGCACACCATCGGCTTCGCTGTCTACGAGGTAACCCCTGCCCGCCCCGATGCTGCTTCCTTGGGACCAGCTCAGCCCTGCCAGTCCTGCCTGGACCTGGCACCCCAGTCCTCAAGGAAACCTTTCCCACCTGCTTTGGCCGGTCTGTGGGTTAAAGTCCCCTGTCCCGTGCTCCCTGCGCTGTAAGGGATGGGGGCAGGTATTGGGATTCTGATTTTTTTTTTCCCTTTTCTTTCCTCCCTGCAGGTTCCTGAGGAGGTACGTCCTGAGCCGCCAGAGCCTACCCCGTCTTGGAGGGGAGCACAAGAGTGGGCAGGACTGGGTTAATGCACGTGCATGCACGCATGTGCACCCAGTGGCGTAGGAACTCCCACCGCACTGGCAGTGGCTAGGGTGCTAATGGGTGCTCGGCCCCTCTGTGCAGGAGGGATGGCTGCTGCTGGGATGGGCAGGGCAGGGATGTCCTGCCCAACAGGGCTGGCTTTGGTCCCACCCACTCCCTGTTCAGGGCTGTGGTCCACAAGCGTGTTCATTCCCCCAGGCCCAGGGCAGCCAGAACGTGCACTTGAAGAAGGACTTCTTCCTGCGAAATCAGTCGCGGGCAAGGTCTGAGACCTTCATCAACCTGCGGGAGGTGAGCAACCAGATCCGGCTGCCCCCCGGCGAGTACATCGTTGTGCCCTCCACCTTCGAGCCGCACAAGGAGGCTGACTTCGTCCTGCGGGTCTTCACTGAGAAGCAGTCGGACACGGCGTGAGTCCCTGCCTGGCCAGGGGATGCCCTGTGTCTGTGAGCGGTGGGACATTTCCCCACCACAGGCAGCCTGCTGGCTGGGGACCCCACTCATCACTTTGGTTTCCTCCTTTCTGCCCCCAGGGAGCTGGACGAGGAGATCTCAGCAGATCTGGCAGATGAGGTAGGAGCCACCGCTTTGGTTCGGTTGGTGCTGAGGCTCCGGGGCTTGGGAGGGGGAGCTGCAGGCAGGAAGTGGCTGCCTGGGTTTGGGATGTCACTGTGGCTGCAGAGGGGCTGGCAGGGTCGAAGTGATGGGGATGTGGGAAGTAACAACGATGAGAAGAACAAAGAAGAGCTTCCCTTCCGGTTTGGGTTTGCTGAGCCTGGGAGGCAGGGCAGAGCCCAGGTTTGACTACTAACCTCTTCTTTCTGGCCTGTGTCACCCCAGGAGGAAATAACTGAGGATGACATAGACGACGGCTTCAAGAACATGTTCCAACAGCTGGCAGGGGAGGTGGGTACGGCTGCGCCGAGCTCTGGAGAGCCCTGGCCTGAGGAGGGGAGGGGACGGGACCCCTGGCCGTGAGAGCTCCAGCCCACCCCACGCTCGCTCAGTCCCATCCTGCAGACAAGTCCATCTCTGCTGTGGCTCAGCCCAGTTGTCCCCAGGGTGGTGTGACGGGAGCAGATTTGGGGAAGGGGCATCCAGCTGTGGTCCAAACTCTTCCGGGCATGCGGGAAATGCAATGGCACCCTGATGTTTTGTGACTAAGGCAGAGATGTTTAGGCGGGAGGGGGGAAATGGCCACAAGTAGGGTGGAGAGCAGGCAAGGGGTGCTGCTAACTCTGCTCCTGCTGCAGGACATGGAAATCAGCGTCTTTGAGCTCCGGACTATTCTGAACAGAGTCATCGCTAGACGTAAGCACTGCCCTTCCCACCCCTTGCTTCCCACGGCCCAGGCCTGCTCAGCAGGTTCATTTTTGATGCATGTGCTCAACCTCCTCCGTCCCCCTCAGACAAAGATCTGAAGACGGATGGGTTCAGCCTGGACTCCTGCCGCAACATGGTCAACCTGATGGATGTATCCTCTTGGCGCTGCGGGTGGGGGCCAGCTTCCCTGGTGCTCAGCCTGCCAGCAGCAAGACTTCTCCATGGGAGCTGGGGCTTGGCTCTCTGGCTGTGCCGAGAGAGCTGTGCCCCTGCACAACCAGGGGAAGGAAGGAAGGAAGGAAGGAGTCCCTGTGGCTTCAGGGCCACCTGCCCTACACCCCTGGGCTTTAGCAGCAGGTTTTTTGGAAAGGGCCATCAGTTTCCCTGCTTGCTCTGGGCCCTGGCTCTGCCACCAGAAGCCCAGCCCAGCCCCACTTGTGCCTTCAATCTTCTGCTCCAGCAGAAAGCGCCCTGTGCTTCCCTTCCCCGCAGCCTGATGTGCTGTGATGCCACCCAGCCTTCAACGCGCTCCTGGAAAGGAACGAGGGCTGTTGGGCTTCTCTGCCCCCAAACCATCCTGTCCAGTAGTTGAGGATGAGAGGTGTAAAGCAACAGGAGCCATGGCCTGTCTTCTTGCTTGCACAAGGACATGCAGCTGTGGGGTCAGGTGAGGGTAGAGGAGCAGCTCCGAGCCCTTCTCCAGCCTGGTCCTGCAGCATCCCCTTTTGCCCCGTTTTCTCCAAGGACACCAGAATGGTGTGCTTCCTACAGCAGCAGCACAGCTGCTCCTGGGGAGTGGCACAGCAGCTAGTTTAAGTGTTGCGCTTTCCCCACTGGGTTGCAGGCTCTGATCTTGCTGGTGCTGCAGGACAGAGAGGGGAAGTTGGGGGGAAAATTGGGCAGGCCAAGTGTGGCCAGGCTTTTCTCGCCTCAGGTGGCTGGGATCTGGCTTTGTCTTTACATCACCCCCTTTGCTGGCTGCTTTCTCCTTGACCCTCTGCTCCCCAGAAAGATGGCAGTGCCCGCCTCGGGCTAGTGGAGTTCCAGATCCTGTGGAACAAGATCCGGAGCTGGCTGGTGAGGAGTGGGGGGCATGGTATTCTCCACAGGGGTATTACCCCTCCTGGGGCAGCAGGGTGAGGGGACAGCCAGGCTGGAGGCCACAGGAAAGCCTGCTTTTCACATCCTCCATGACGTTTTTGCAGACGATCTTCCGCCAGCACGACCTGGATAAGTCGGGCACCATGAGCTCCTACGAGATGCGCATGGCTCTAGAGTCAGCCGGTAGGTCTGGAGAAAGATGGGGCTGGGATGGGGGCTGGGGAGAGGGCTCCTGCTGTCGGAGCCTTGTCCTAAGTGGCTGGAGGAGAATGAAACCAGCCTATATTGCATGCTTGGAGCCAACCTGTTGTGATAGTGAGATATGGCCCATGTCTGTGCTGGGCTCTCTCCATCCCAGCTGTGCCGAGTGCTGGAGCTTCAGGGTTAGGGACGCATGCAAGGTGGTCCCAACCTCTGTCCTCCTCTGACCTGCAGGGTCCCACCCTGGCAAAGCAGAGGCCTGGGGTGGATCAGTGAGCTAACTAGTCATACAGCTCCAGGGAGAGCATCCCCTC